AAATAATAAATTATTTTTATATGTATTAAATTTATATTATAAATAAATTAAAAGTGATTAAGTGGAAAAAAAATATTTATTACTATAAATGGTAAATATTATTTTATTATAATATATTGTAAATTTCCCTAAATTTCATATATACCTAAATATACACTGACTATTTAATCTTAACTAACTCAAAACTATGTCTAAACAATCTGAAAATGTGTGATATTTTTTTTTTTAATGTTTCAAATCTATTGATGAATTATTTTCTAAAAACTATTAATATTCTTGGTACATTGAATTTTTTTTTTTTAAAAAAAGCTGGAAGAAGAAGAATAGGGGGAAAAAATCTAAAAGATGAAACTGGTAACAAAAGATGACGACAGTAAAAGTGGAGAAGAAATTAACCACTTTTTATAATTAAATCGATGAATAATCATTTGATATAATTATCCTAAAAAAATTGTCTCTATTTTATTCATTAAGTGTTAAGGTGATAGTATTTTATGTATGGTCTATGAACATAGTGCCTTAAATCTGATCCAAAAAGTAAGAAGAAATTGAAGAAAATGTACTTATGACTATGTTTTAACATTATGAACGTTGCAATATAAAAAAGACTGATTATTTCAAATATATAGTATCTAATATTCAAAATGATTGTAATCCTTTTGATTATTTATTGCTATGGTTGAAAATTAAAATTGTACCGTAAAATGGATCAAACATATTAAAATTTAATATTTAATATGATTTTAAACTACGAAAATTAATACTATTCTAATTTTAATTTTATTTAAAAAATAAATAAATTGAATCGAGTTACTATGAACTTTATAATTATTTATATATTATTTATATTTTATTTATAAAAACTCAGGTTAGAGTTTTGGTACACAATTTACTAGTATTCCTCCCTGGGTAGTTTGTCAATTGTTGAGCTTGAGGTTTTCATTTTATTTTTGCTATACAAAAATAGTATTCTTCTGATATTTGATGTATAATGATTTTAGTATTGCTTATTTAAATTTCTTTGTTTGTTTAATTGATTAATTTAATCTATAAGAAATTTTATATGGATGGTTTCTGTAAGAGGTGTCGGTGTGTATTGAAAGATGTATATACTTATCATATTTATTGCTTTCAAATCGAAAAAAATTAATACTTGCATTTAATCGAATCAAATCATAGTTATTTTTTTATTTAATTATAGAAATTTAAAAATAGATTTTTAATCAATAATAACTCCAAAAGAAACCATGAACACTTCTAAAATAAAACTCAAATATACAAAAAAATATATATATATATATATATATTGAATTTGTTGTTGCGTTCAACATATGTCGACGACTACAGGCATGCCTTCTTATATGAAAAATCTATTTCTAAGATATCTCATTTTATGTCTGAAGTGGAATAGACCGTTAAGAATTTAATGGAAGACAAATTAAAACGGTGAACTTTAATAATAGATTTAAAATATTTATTTAAGTATCACTTGAGTAGTTTAGATCTTTTAATTTACTCTATCAAATATTTATCAATGTTAATTATTAAATTTAATCAATACTTTAAAAATAAATTTAGTAAAAGTAAGCACTTTATTTATTGAAATATATACAAATATGAAAGCATACAATGTTGAAGTTCAAAATTTTGACCAAAAAAATGTATAGCATACAAAGTCCTTATATTCTTAGTTGTAAATTTAATGAACTTAAAGACCATTTCCTTGAGTTCTCATACATTGACAAGTATTTTAGTGGTATTTCAATAATTTTTGGAGTTTGAAGTTAAAAGGGTAAAAAAAAATTGGTAAAAATTTTAAAAGGGTATATTAATATTTTTTAATTAAAAAGATAAAATTATTCTATTAAAAAAAATTGGCAAAAATTTCAAAAGGATACATTAATATTTTTTAACCAAAATGGCAAAATCGCTCCCAACGGGCAATTTTATTTTGACAAAATTGACATGTCAATATTTTTTTAAAAAATACAAAATCGTTATTGTGTCAGCAATTTCATCAAAAAGAATTCCTTAAAATCCCTGGCAACGATTTTGTCAATTTTTTTTAATAAAGCAGCCCCTGCCTCTATTGTTGGCTTGCTGAAAAGAGAAGAAGATCAATTTTTTTTAAGGAAAAGGAAAAGGAAATCACTGATGTAGCAACATTTCAATTTAACTTTTTTTTTTAAAAAAAAAACGCTACACGCGCTACTATATTAAAAGATTAAAATAAGATCAATTTTGTCCTTTTGGTTAAAATTTTTTTTTGATATGTCCTTTTAGAATTTTTAATAATTTTTTTTTACTTTTTTAACTTCGAACTCATAATTTTTAAATATATATAGGTTTAAACTTTGAAAATGATTTGACACATATAAACTTAATTCAAATTAAAATACGAAAGAAAAATTAAAATTTCAACTTCATGAATAATTTATGAAATTCAAATTCCTAAAACAATTCATAGGATTTAATGAATTAGAGAAAGACAGAAGAAACGTGTTTTTTAACTTGATTTCTTGATATCTTTATTAAGTTTATTATAAGATGTCTATATATCGTTTTACTTTTGAAAATAATAGTTAGTACCTCATCACTAGTCAAAGAAGGGAGGGGTGCCTATTATTTTTTCTATTTTTTTATTTTTTGTTTTTTGTTATTGTTTTCAACTGTGGATCCATATCACACACACGTATACGTTATCACTTCACAATTACCATTTTTAGGTTTAAAGTTCGTATTATTCTCTACGATCGAGATATATTATTTAATAAATAAATGTAATTCGAAATTTAATTTGAGTATTGCACACATTTGTCTTCTACAAGGTATTTGTGTATCCTTGAGCAATTTTAATTTCATCACTAAACACATACACTTTTGCCTTATGTGCTTTTAAATTTCACTTTCCTACTAATAGTTACATTTTTTATATAAAATTATTGTTTTATCATAATTTTTGTGATAGACTATTTACAAAAAAAATTCATTACACAAGGTGATTCCTTTTGAAATTGGTTAATAAACAAATAAATTTATATGAAACAAAACGAAAGGTGTACATGTGAAACTTAACACAGGTATTTTTTTCTACAAAAATAAATTAAAGAGTCAATTTAGTGAATCACAATTAGCCAATAAAGCAAATCGCTTAGATTCCTTGCTAATCTAGTGTGTTCACGTTTTCATTAGCCACGTGTCACCACCTTATTCCTACGTTTATGTTAGAGAAAAACTTACAATAATAACTTGCTTAGTGCTTACCATGTGATTAATTAAAATTAATACACCTACAAAGGCCAATTCTAATTTTTCTTTTGTTTTGTCATATTGTCATTATTGACATAATTTATGTTTACTTTTGTCGACTAACTATTAATGATTACGTGACAAACACATCAATGGCCTACTTTGAATGGGACTTTGATTATATTTTATTTTTCTATTTTGTGATTCTCACTATGAATTTAATTTAACTTCTTTCGCTAATATATACTTATTAAATTTAAACATGTAAACATCTAGAAGGACAGTGATTTAGTGTAAACACTTGGAACAAAAATTTATATCTCTCAAGTATGTATTAAATTATATTCATTTATTGTGATTAAATAATAAATTGAGGTTAAAACTTACAATTAATATATTCTTTCTGTATTATTGAACATAGTGATTCTAGAATTTGGAAATTCATGTTTACATTAGGAGCTTCACTATCCAAAAATGTATGATCACACTATGTTTAGAATATAGTATTGGCTTTTATATTTCTAAAGGGACATTCTTATATATAAAGTCACAATTCTAATTTCATTTGAGTTTTTAGTATTTTTTTTTATATGAAAGCATATTTAATTTTTTTTATTGTATTTGATTTCTGAATGTGAATAATTTTGTCATTCGATATATTTTGAATTTGATCTTATTTATTAATATATTTTATCCCTTCTCTGATATGAAAAAGTCTTATTGTTAACCTTAACAAATAATTTTGGTGGTAACTTAAATAAATTATACCCGTATATAAATAAATTAAAAATATTTTATACATAAAATTCACGTTATTTATGTAAAAACTTCATCAATATTAAAAATACATATTTGTATTTTTACATCATGGACAATGCGTATAATATCAATCCACCTAACAAAAAATACTTTCGACCAATTATTGTTCAATTCTTGTTTATTAAATTATTATTTCAAAGAAGAAACAAAATTCTTATTTCGTCGTCTATCTATCTTTTGACGACTTGAATTATATTATATATATTTGTATAAAGTATACTAGTATTTTGATTGTTTCAGTAAACAAAAATCACGATTATTTTACTCTTTATTCCAGTTAAAAAAATTTATAAATAATATCGATATATTAACTTTTTATCTTTTATGAGGATTCTATCACACAGTAAAACAATTTAATAATCCAATTATTATAATTTGAATTATAAATAACATGTTTAATTTTAATATTTAACTGATGAAAATTGAAAGATCAAAATTGATATAGTCATACTTATTTATCTTAAAGAATAAAAAAAATTATCAGATAAAAAATCAAACAATCACTAATAAACTAATAAAATAAAATTTTAACTTTGTTAAGTATTGTTGGTAGACAAAGAGTTAGTGATAACAAAAAGTGCCCACAAGAATAAATATGATTCGCCTTCTATTTTTTGATAATAATTATCTCAAGTTATTTTATTTATAGTCTTAGCAATTCAAAGACAAAATCACTCGTGAATTTTTCCATTTTAACCTGAGCAATAACTTTCTTGAAATAACAAACAGCTTGACTATTAAGTTCATAAACTTTTTTTAAAAATCTTTTATCTTCTTATATTTTCATCAAATAAAAATAGATTAAATAAATTGAGAAAAAAATCTTATAAAATGTGTAAAAAGAAAATTTGAGGCAAAGGGAGTAGAACTCAGTTAAATGAATTAACATGGAAATGTTCCTTATATAAGTAATAAGTATACATAAACCTAACATTTCTTGATCTTGAAAATAGCTGAGAAGGACACACGTCTTTTCTTTCTTCTCTTTCAAGATAAGAATTAGTAAAGGCAGAGTTTTGGATTTTCTTTAACAAAGTTTGAGTCAATGAAACTGTTCATACGTATAAATTTATTCAATCAATTCTTTGCGTGAAGCTTTCTTCTTCTTCTTCCTTTTCTGTTTCTTATACTAAACCTACAAAACCCTGTTAAAGTTTTGGCTTCGGATGAATTTTTATTGGTCTTCAATAATTTTTGAGAGACTGCTGGATTGTTGATTTTTTATTTATTTTTTTGGATTAAGGACGATATATCAAGATTTTCCAATACTGGGTTCTTGAATTCTTGTTCAATTTTTGTGTCACTCTTGTGGAAAAGGTTTATCTCAAAGAGTCTTGCTTTTTTAAAAAAAATCCATTTCAGGTATGATTTTTAGTATCTGTACACTAAAAAGAAAATTGAGTAGATTCTATTTATGGGAACCGTTTTTTGATTATGTTTATTGCTTACTTTCTTGTTTAATGTGGTTTTTTGTATCGGAATTATTGATTGCCACTTTGTGGGTAAATTGGAGTTAATGAGATTTAGTTATGGGTTCTTTTAACTTGTGTAAATAATTGGATTTTGTCCCAAAGAGATTGTTTCACTAGTTAAATTCATATATTCATAGTTCAAGCTTGTTTGAAATTCTTGTGGAATTTGTTCCGGGTATATCAGAAATAACTTCTCCGTGTCTCGAGGTAGTGGTAAAGTTTGCATAAACTGCAGGCTTCTAATCAATAGTGTAAATTAAAAGTTTGGTAGACCTCACTTGTGGGATTATAATACTGGGCATATTGTTGTTGGGTCTTGGAATTTACTATTTAGGAGGTCATAGAACGTATAACTGATACCTGTTAAGTATTATGTGCAGATTATTTTTTTGTCTGAAGGATCCAAAAAGCATAAGCTGATCGTAAAGTTTCCAATTTTGACCTCTCGAAGCTTCAGAATTCAAACATGACTATTGGAACTGTAAAAGAGAAAAAATCAAGAAAGAACAAACAGCCAGTAGTAGATGACCAATCGCCATTATTGCCTACAAAGCATCAGAAAGATGGCGGATTCGATGAGTTCAATGGGGCTTCATATAGTGGGGCTGTATTTAATTTGTCGACTACAATTGTCGGTGCTGGTATCATGGCCTTACCTGCAATTATGAAGGTGTTGGGACTCATTCCTGGGATTATTATGATCATCTTGATGGCTTTCCTCACAGAAGCTTCAATTGAGTTGTTAATCAGGTTTAGTAGGACTTCAAATTCAGTTTCTTATGGAGGTCTTATGGGCGATGCTTTTGGCAATTATGGGAAGATGTTGCTTCAAATATGTGTACTTGTTAACAATATTGGTGTTCTTATTGTATACATGATTATCATAGGTAGGTAAGGATGAACTGATTACCACACCCTTAAAGACTTAGCTTCATGTACTTTACGTTCAAAAAAGAAAAAGACTTAGCTTCGACTACTTCTTCATCCGCAGTTAATTCCACGATGATTGTGATACTCACTCTTTATATTCTCCTTTCAAAGGTGACGTGCTTTCTGGAACAACTTCAAGTGGAACCCACCATGCTGGTGTCCTGGAAGGTTGGTTCGGAGTTCATTGGTGGAATGGACGATTCTTTGTTCTTCTTGTGACCACCCTTGGTGTATTTGCACCATTAGCTTGCTTAAAGCGTATAGGTAAGTACTTTCTGTAGATACGTCAGTTTTTTGGGATATTACTTAATTTATACAATCTTTTCATGCTATTTTATCACTGAAATATGAATTTCAGTCAACTAGGTATATATAGATCTTGGTTGCCTTTTGGTAAGCAGCTCAATTTTTTTTTTCATGGCTCTTCAGAATACATGGGCAGTTGCTACATTCCTATGAGTAGATATTATTTTCAATTCTGTGCACTGCAGAAATAAACTTAACATCAACAGTACTATTTCTCTGTATTACATGTGCAATGTGGTGACATTATGTTACTCAATTTCCTTTGCAGATTCATTGAGATATACATCTGCATTATCAGTCGCCCTGGCTGTTGTATTTCTGGTCGTAACTGTGGGAATCACCATATTCAAGCTGATAAATGGATCAATTCTTATGCCCAGATTGCTTCCCAGTTGTCATGATCTGACGTCATTCCTCAAGCTCTTCACAGTTGTTCCTGTACTGGTCACTGCATACATCTGTCACTATAATGGTAATGGCCCAATTATATTTTCATGCGGATATTGCCGTTTTGTTTTACTGCTAATATTTTATGAAAGGGAGGTATACATAGATTCGACCAAGTTTAAAGGTAGAAACATCTCTGCTATGCTTGAAATTAATCTAAGGTACATATTTCCCATAGTTTTTGTATTCTTATACTTTCAGATTTCTCAGTTGGAGGAGTCTTTCATATAATCATATAAATTCTTTTATTATATAAGTCATGACAACCATATATATATCTCAGATTAATTCAAACAGTTTTATTATATTCAAAGTACTATTAATACAAAAGTTCTGGTTGTTTGGTGCATTAATTGATGATTATTGAATGTGTTATTCAAATATATCATATTTCAAGATCATTACTGCTTGCACTATGACTTTCTTTTCCTACTCTTTTTGCAAGTCCACTTCTTGATTTGATCTGACCATGGATGATAGAGAAACCATCAGGAGTTCCTGTTATCTTTAGATGATCCTACTTCTAAGTCGTTTGCCCTCCGTGTAGTCCATTCAACTGTTTAGTCTACTTCTTCTAGCGTTATGATTGACTTAATATAATATCCTATGTGAAATTTTCTTCCTTGGTGCACATTCTTGTCAAATTGGATGTTGCAGTTGTAAATGGAAATTTAACTGTACATCCGTCTTGCTACAACATTAGACTAAACAAGCATACTTATGCAGTTCACTCCATAGAAAATGAACTTGAAGAAAGCAGGCAGATCAGAGCAGTGGTGCAAAGTGCGCTAGCTCTTTGCTCGAGTGTGTATGTGCTGACAAGCATTTTTGGTTTTCTCCTATTTGGCGATGCAACTCTTGATGATGTGCTTGCCAACTTCGATGCTGATCTTGGAATTCCATTTGGCTCCTTGCTTAATGATGTTGTGCGTGTCAGCTATGCTGCCCACCTGATGCTCGTCTTTCCCATTGTTTTCTACCCACTGCGGCTTAACTTGGATGGCCTTGTATTTCCTTCTGCAAGCCCTCTAACCCTGGACAATTTGAGGTTTGCTTTAATCAGCGGTGGTCTCATTGCCATCATCTTTTTGGGGGCGAATTTCATCCCAAGCATCTGGGATGCGTTCCAATTCACTGGAGCAACTGCTGCTGTTTGCATAGGGTTCATATTTCCTGCTGCTGTTACTCTCAGGTAAACACATTTCTGTTGCACAATTTATTTAAGGTGTTACTTGACTGATGCTTAGCAAATCCAAAACTTGGGATTATAGCTTGCAATATATATCTTGTCTGCCAAGCGCCCCCCACCTCCACCTCCCTACCCTACCTGCACGAACTTTAAAGGAACATGATAGTAGTTGGACTCGTTTGAGTTGTTGCATGCATGAAAGTTTGTGAACGGAAATTGCTAACCAGCTTTGTTGGCACATCTGATCAGCCTGCATTTGGTGGCCTTCGTAAAATTTGGTGCGAGCATACTTGCTGTGCCCTCCGGTCAAGAAAGTGAATAAGCTGACCTCATCTTAGTTTGAGTTCTGTTAACTTTTTTGTTGATTGGGAGATGTCTACTTATGTTTACCCCTCCTTTGAAAAAGCTGGACATTTGAGACTACTGACAACAAAGTTATCTGACTTCTATATGGTAGAAGAGTTGGTCAAAAAGCAGAGAATATTTTGTTTGTCCAATGTTGAAAGGTTACTAATAGTTTGCTTCGTGGAAAGGAGTAGAAGACGTCACGTCTGAGAATTCTGTGCTATTTAAGTTGGAGGTGCTTGGATATCTCATGGTTAAATACAATCATAGGATGACAATAAATTGATTACAACTTGCTTTTGTTACTGATACCAGATTTTCCCCAATCAATCCTCTTCGCCCTCAAATTTCTTCGCTGATCCACTGGACGGTATCTAGTAAGACCTTTATCATTCGACACGTTAAGAGTTTCAAACTGATACTTGTGCTTTCATCTTTCTCATTCTAATTATGGTAGGAGGTACAAGAGCAATATCTCTAAAAATTGGATAACATTTACCTTGTTTGCAGTTTGGAAGTTTTGTCCAGGCAGGACTCTATGTTGATTGATTCATGAATTTATGTTTGTTGGTTCTTTCCGAGTCCTGGGCCATTGATTATTTGAAGTTTAAACATTTAGGTGTGAATTTTAAGAATTACAAAGATTGGATACATCTTTAGCGTATAATTGCAATATATCTTCTTCTCCCTGCTTTCAAACCCCACATCCTCTCCCCCCCCCAGGTGTATGGCGAAATCAGATGAGCATTTATAGAATTGGTTGTATTTTGTTGCAGGGATCGGTATGGCATAGCAACTAAGAGAGACAAGATCCTAAGTATTTTTATGATTGTCCTTGCTGTCTTTTCGAACATGGTGGCCATATATAGCGATGCATATGCCTTGTTTAAAAAGAATTCATCACCGCGCGAGTGATTTCTCATGTACCTGTGTGACACGAGGAATTCGAAGTATCAGTTGTACTCATGGTGAAGTTAGGGTGAAGGCAGGATAATACTGGTTAAGCTTTTCTTTGAAGCTACTGGAGTCTAGTTCTAATAAGTTTACAAACACTGCTCAATATGAAAATTTGAGTAGCTTTGCTTAACATGCATCAAGACATGGCTGCAGCCTACAGTCTTGTACAGTGCCCGCTGAAGTTATGTCTTACATACGAAATGATGTATAAACAGCAAATTCAGCTTGGATTGGCTTCAGTTCTCTGTATGTTGATTTCTTGTGTATTCATTTCCATTGGTTGGGTTTGTTGCTGTTTTTTCTTTTCCTTAATGAATCTCCGGGTCCCAGACGCCCTTTTTAGTTGGCTGGTGTTTGGAATTCAATTTATTTTGCATTGTTTCATTTTCTTTCCTGTCAGTACTTTTGGTCATTGCAGAGTTTTTGTGGTTAAATGAGTGAGGGGAACTCTGTAAAATTCTGTTATATTAATTGCTTTTTTTTAGCAATGGTAATTGCACGTCGATCTCTTGTATATATTTTTTCCATCAAGCAAACAAATTTCATCTTCTGAAGAAATATAAGTGAAGCATGAACTACTATTTGATTGGTTAAATTCTGAAACAAAAATACATTGTTGCATTCTGAATACAGGGACAGGGCCTAAACTAACTCTACATAATAATAGTTACACTACACCTATTTACAAAACCCAGCTAGTCGATATTCAAACTTTTTGCTAACGAAATAATGTCCAAAATGACCTCTGTACTGCAAATATTCAAACTTCGTGCTACCAAAATAATGTGCAAAATGACCTCTATGGATTCCCAGTACTAGTCACAAAAGGAACCAATCTTCTGTAATCTCTTCTCCTCCCAAGTGCACAACTGTCAAGCACTCTACCTAGCATCAGCCTTGTGTTTTGAAGCGCTAATTCTTTCGCTGATAAACCTGATTCAGATGCATTAGGTTGGACTACTGCTGTGGAGCCAGCTCCAAGTCCGAGCATCGCATACTGCAATGGCCCACTTCGAGCCTTAAATGAGGTCTGAGGCGCAAGAATCTTCTCTTCAGAGCCAGCAAGTCCATTCTCAAACTGTCCTGGCTCATGCGGATGTGATCCAGGTAAGCTACAGCTCTGCAAGAGGGCTTCCAATACACTAAGTGCCTCCCAACACAAAGTGCTCTCTACCAACTGAGATACAATTGCATACATATGTGGACTTTGAGCAGCATCCATTGGAGTATGCTGAAGCAATGCCTTCAGCATGAGAAGTATGACACGCTGATATTCAACTGGCCCTTTCTCAAGAAGACGTAGGAGATGCCCAAATGCTAGAGCCGAGTGCTTGGGGAACCATTCATTGCACAGTAATGGTGAAACACAAGCTAGAAGGTGTTCTATATTTTTTATCTCACCGCGGGAGTAAGCCATGAACACAGTAGCCAATTCATCTATCGATTTTGCTCGACACCAGACAGCTATATTGGTTGCAACAGAGCAAGCTTTTTGATACTGGTGATGGAACGGTGAAGCAGGACCAACCCCTGCGTCTTGGTTAAGCTGTAAGCAGAGCCAGGGAAGTAAGCCTGTTATGTTCATTAGTAGGCGTGTTTCTGCATCACCAAAGATTGAATCACATGAAGGCACGGTGATTCTCGATAGAACTTCAATAGAGACACCATGACTGACAGTTGACATAAGGCCTTTAAGAACCAGTGGTTGCACTCCTTCAAAGACTGGCACCTTTGCATTTGAGGGTAATGGCTCACTAGCATTCCGTGATTCCAGATGCTGGAAGTCAGAATTGTCACCAACATTTGAATCAAGCTCATCTCTGGGCATGCTTGAAAGAAGTACATTCTCAGTAGTTCTATCTCGGAATGATAAGCGATCAATTACACGACAAACGAGTTCCAGCACCTGACAATACACATGAACGAAGTCTGTATGCATCATGGCAACACAACCCCAGAAAAGCTGGGGATATAATATCACCTTTTCTGGCTCCATATTCTCCACCATCACCTGTAATGTCAACAAGATCTCCATGACAAAGCCTAGAACAGGTGGTACTGGGTTACTCAAGCATCTGTGTAGGCAACGTAGCAAGGATACACAAGCATCATTAGTTACACGAGGCCGCAGCGCCCGGTATATCTGGTGCGAGCGGCAGGCCAGGTGTCTTGATGTGCATTCCATAGCCCATTTAAGAGCCTCTGCTCCCCAAGTTTCCCGTAGATCTCCTTGGAAAAAGATAGCATCCACCATGCTCTGCACTAAAGCAGATAAGAGTGCTGCACTTGGCAGTTCTGTTCTGACAACTGTAGTGTCCTCATTCTCCCACATCATGCTACCTCGCTTAGATTGAACATACTTTATCAAGCTCACTACTTGCTGCTTGTTCTCTCCATCACTATTTTCAACGTCATACAATTCCAAATGACGCCCAGCAAGGGAATACAACAGATTAACCAGAAGGTGCTGACAATGCTCCAAGACAATATCCTCTGAACTATCCATGGAGACGAAAGTGACATGAAAGAGCAATGGTAAATGCTCCCGGAAATCTTCATCATTCTCATAGGCGATTTCAGCAAGTAAAATTAACGCTATGTCTGCATGGGTGAGTAGGTGCTGTTGATGACCTTGCAATGCTGATTGAAGTTCTTTTGCATTAACAGCATGTGTTCCAGCCGCCAAGTGCAACCCTTCTTCCCCAGAATTTGGAGTATCAATGTGATAATCTCCGCTGTCTCGAGAGACATGACGACTTCGTAGGCTTCCTGTTGAACTCCGAACTCCCATTAATGGCCCTGACATGTTCACCAGGGAAGGAAGAAGTTGGCCAGACCGACCAGCAGTTAGAGGAACAATATTCAATTCAGGAGGCATAGGACTCAAGGGGCCCGAGGCACTTCTGCCTCCAACCCCTGCTGTTCTCCAGCTCAAGCTCCCACTTGTGTTTCTTAGAGGACCATCAAGAGATCCACGAACTAATAAAGGTGACATGTGCGGTTGGCTGTCTACAATTGATGAAACTTGAGCCACAGACGGTCCTTGTGAGAACTCCAACAGAAAGTTTCCATTACCATCTCCTCTGTTTGCACTAGACCTCAGAGGCTCTATGTTATCTTCAAGCATACGTTGAGCCAGTTGATAAACCAGGTGATCTATAGTACGTTGGGGGCAGATACGAGCCAAGTATAAACCAACCCTTTTAGCAACAGAGAAATATGTAGCAAATGCACCACTTATTTCTGCTGACGCATTTGAATCACAATCTTCAATCCCTTTTGCAATCAAAAAATCTAAAACGGGACTTATGTTCCTGGGTTTGCTAGCAATTGTGCTCCAAAGCTTTTCAATTTCATCAGGAAACTGATCACCATGTCTCCATGTCACATAATACAGACTTTTCAACAATCTCTCACTCCAGCCAGAATCCTTAAGTTTCCAGAAATTGAGATTCTCTATCCATGGAGCCATGCAGGTGAGGACTTGGTGCTGTGCAATTATATCAACAGCATCAAGCTGTCTCTGCATAATTTCTTCACAAAGCAACTGGCTCAGTTCAGGATGATCTTTAGCAAGTTTGCAAGAGAGTTTGTATTGGAACTGTTGATACGAGTCTGGAAGGTTCCCAACTACAGCAGCTCTGTAGCTTCCTGAACCCTCCATCCCATCATCGGCCCATTCACGGACAGAAAGCGTCTCAAGCATTTGAAGGGCATCATCACGAATCTGTCTGGAAGGATCCACCACCTTGTAGAGGATCAAACTTAAGAGTCTCTGTATTTCACATTTTGGAATCTCTTGACGCATATAGACTTCAGCTAGCACACTGAAATAGCCATCTGCAATTGCAGCATCAGAGTAGTAGCACTGTGCCAAATAAAGACTCGTAAGTATTTCAAAGGGATAAAAATAAAAAACATGTATGCTAAACATCTGCCTAGGGCAAGAAAAGTGATAACTTGCTCCATGTCAAAAAAATCAAAGTAGAGGATCTGAATTTTCAAACATATTTTTGATACTAGATAGAAAATAACAAAATGATATAAGAATGCCACCACTGCACCAACTAAACAGAAGGCATAACAGAGGAAACTCACTTTCCAATCAAAAATGCATAAAAGATTAAATACTTGCTAAATGGTTTACCTCCTGAAAACAATGGGGATAATACAACACATAAAATCACTATATTACACACCTTCACCCACAATATTGACAAGTCACATAAAATTCATGTTTTAGAAGGTTTGCTTACAGAATACATTTTAACAAAATATGTAGTGTACAATAAACGAGTAAAACTGCACCATGAACTTTCTATAAGCATTTGGAAAAAGAAGCAGCACCTGGTCAATGCAAGCAGGAAACAGGTCCAAGTTTGTTATAAGAAGATTTCTTAAAGCTAATTTTGCAAGTGAAACTCGAAGATGACCTCCTCTGTGCCTATCACGACCAGTTGTTCCTCTGCCACTTTCACCAGTGTACTTTGAATAAGATGGAGTTCTTGGATCAGCAGGTGAATAACCAAAGGGTGCCCTTGGTGCAGGCTCAATGAATAGGCTATTTATCCAAGATATTACACGGCCACTCATCTTTCTGGCATTATCATCAAAGCAGGGTCCATATAACAGTGAAGCCATTGCATTCATGGAAGCCCATTGGATGGCTTCTACCTGTTCATTCAGTTCTTTATCAAATGTGAGTTTGTCAATAGAATCCTTTGATCGAGAGTGCTGAGTAGACTTGTAACGCTCAACTTCACGTCGATAATCATTAACACCATCCTGACTCCATGTATTGCCAGCATCATCGCTCCAGGAGAGTAGAAGATCAAAAAGCCGCTTCCTAGTTCTAATATCAAATTTTTCTGATTTTGACTCAACAAATTCAGGGGCCAGAGATCTCAGTACAGAAGCAAGTGCATAACGGAGTGGTTGCATCTCCTGGAAACTCTCGGCAGATGCTGTAAATATCTGTCTGGTTGTTTCTTCAATGAACTTCAAATAATGTAGGCGGAAAACAGGCTTCCTACTAAGCATTCCAGGCCAGATGTTTTCAGAAACTGTACGGTATATATTTGCAATGTGAACACGAAGTTCTTCTCGACGGGACCTTTGGCTCTGCAATGAAACGATCGAGATTCTACTAAACAGAACCAAAGCACAGAATTTGTACCGACAATGACAGAGACAATCAACAATTTACAAACTTTGGCATGGGGGTCTCAAAGGACTATGTAGCTGCAGTTTTGGCAAGTTCCAAACCTGTACTTTTCTTCGCCATAAATATGGAAATATCCTATGCATGTAATACATGTGAGCAGTATATTTTTCAAGACATGAATTTGACATCTGATTTCTTTCTTTCTTAACATCAATTGTAG